TTTTTTTTTTTTCTTTCTGTCCTGCAGTATTTTTCTAGGAACATATGTGTAACTATGTTTAGTGGTTACACATGGAGTCTGTCATCAATTCTGTGACTTTGTCATCAGGACCAAGTGGGAAACTCTGCCTACTCACTCTTGACCTTTCCTTTTCCCAGGTAAATAGGCTGTTGTTTCTAATGTTAAAATCTTTTCTGATTTTAGGCTTTAACAAAATTCTTGAAATGTGTTAATTGGGATTTACCTCAGGAGGCTAAACAGGCATTGGAACTTCTAGGAAAATGGAAGCCAATGGATGTAGAGGACTCCTTGGAGCTTTTATCCTCCCATTACACCAATCCAACTGTGAGGCGTTATGCTGTTGCCCGGTTGCGACAGGCAGATGATGAGGTACATTGTTACTCATTACTCTTCTTTGGGTACATTTTAAACTAGAGCCTGATTATAGACTCATTTACTCCTCCCCACTCAGTCCTGTGTGTGTGTGTGTGTGTGTGTGTGTGTGTGTGTGTACGGTAGAGAGAGGGAGAGAGAGAGAGATAGGTAGACCAGACCAGAGAGAGAAAAAGAGAGATTTTTAGAAGGGAAGAGGATATACTAGGTGTGTTTTCAGAAGTAAAATTAAAATATTCCTCCAAGGACTCTTCTGTGAAATGAAAATTTACTTCCTGATCTGTTACATGATAGGACAATCTCTCCCAGGACATTTACCTGGCAGCAGAGCTTGTATTGCTCTGTCTGGAAAAAGGAATTCTAATGAAAAATGGTTTAATGCGGCACCAGCTAGGGAATAATTCAGATCCCCTCTATCAGTCAGTATACAACAAGCCACATTTAATTGCAGCCTTGAGAAGCCCTTGGGGCCTTTAAAGCATAGAGATGCATGGTCATCTTATTCTCCTTCAAACTTCTCCTTTAAACTTTCAGCTGCTGACAATTACGTGTATATGTAGATTTTCTGAAGGTGGTTTTGAATCCTCTGGAAAGCCAAGCCTGCAAACTTTATGCTGGCTATTTATATACATATAAAACCACCAGGGAAGGAGGAACACTCTGTGGACACAAAGCATTGCTGGATTTTGAATTGGAGTTATTCCTAATAAGATAGAGTAATCCAGCAAGTTTTTTAACGTACTAATTTTTATATGGTGAATGAATGCCTTTTCCAAACATAACCTAATAATTTATGCTAGCCTGCAGGGCTTATGGGATACAGGATAACTTTTCTCAAGTCTCGATGTATATAGCAATGTTGACTCCATAGAATAACTAATACTGAAGATCTTTTTTTAAAAAAAGTCATTTTGAATTTGTAGTGGCAAAACATAGCACTAAGGTCGATGTATGTCTTTAATTATAGTAAAATATGAGCACTAAAGTAAATAGTCTAGTGAATGCTCACATATCATTTACCCATCTTCAGTTGCCAGCTCACAGCTAGTCTTGTTTCATCTGTAACACCACTTATTTTCTCTTCCCCTTTTCCTACCCTTCACCGGATTATTTGGAGGCAAATCTCAGCTGTTGTATAATTTTATTGGAACAGTGTTTTTTACTCCTCCTGTCAAAAAGCAATCCTAAGCATTGTGATTCAGCATATTATCTTCTTCCTCACTGTCTTTACTGTATCACAAGTAAAATTTATTACATATTTATTTGAAATGTAGAAATGTTGAAATATTTATTGTGAAATTAATTGGAAATTTAACTTAAATCATTAATTCTCAATGTTTGATATGAGTCATAGCGTTTAGCTAAAGGCCTCTGGGCTACAGTCAAGACAGTACCTTCGTGTGGGTTCAGAATTTAAATAGAAAAATTATCAGTCCTAATTTTTGATTGTCTTATTTCAATTCCCTCACAAGCTTCTAGCTTAGTATTTAATTGTCTCTGGAGATAGCTGTATTCATGCAGGTACTGAACTATTTCCAGACCATTTTAGAATTTTTGTTATTAGGTAGAGGATAATGATAGAAACATTGTGTACACTTTAAATTGCAAAATATGGTAGTTTTTTTTAGGTTTTAGAGATCTTAATCTTTGAATACCTTTCTGAATTTAATTTGCTAATATTCTATTTAGGAATTTTTTATTTTTATTTTTATAAATTTTTTTTTCTTTAATGTTTATGTTTGAGAGAGAGAGACTGAGAAGGTGAGTAGGGAGGGGCAGAGAGAGGGAGACACGGAATCCAAAGCAGGCTCCAGGCTCTGAGCTGTCAGCACAGAGCCCAGTGTGGGGCTCGAACTCATAAACCATGAGATGATGACCTGAACTGAAGTCGGATGCTTAACAACTGAGCCACCCAGGTGTCCCTTTAGGAATTTTTTAAAAACTGTATTTCTTATTGTTGTGTGGTTCAAAAGGAGAGGTTCCCCATTAGAGTTTGAGGAGGAAGTGGCATTTGAGATACTCATTAAAGGAAGAGTAAATGTTCACAGTTGGACATGAGTTTACATTTTAAGTGGAGAGACCAAAATCAGCAAAGGCAAGGAGAGTGAAAAGTAATAAGAAAATAGCAAGTATTTCACTTTAACTGGAATGTGGGATGTATGTAGCTAGCTGTTCAGGATGTAAGATCAGAACCTGTGTCCTTCTAACTGTAAATGCCTATATGAAGAATTACTCTTAAATCAATAAGAAATGGGAAGTCACTTAGTGATTTTTGATACAGAATTTTGCCTGTGTACCCTGAAGCATTAGAATTAACTTGTTATTGAGAGAAATGGTGATCACTATCTAGATAATATTCCATAGCTCTTGGGAAATTTTACTGAATTGCCTCAGATGGAAACCTGATCTTTTCTTTTGTTTTACTCCAATGCTATGTCCTTCATGCTTAGAGGAATTTTATGTTTTTCAAGATGTGACTATATAACGAGCAAATAGACTTTGTACAAATGAAGGAAAGTATAGTTTGAATATAGAATACCAAACCAACAAATCAGATAGTGATGAGTGACAAAAAGAGGAACGTTTTCTTCTGAATTCCTCCTTTGTGGGGAATTTAATAATGATATAGCCCTTTTGATTTCATGTGGAAAGTCTTCTATAATTGGGAAAACATAACAGGTGATATACTGAGCAGCATTTTCGAAGCATGCTTAGCAGTGAAACACAATTACTTAATTCTCCTGAGAAGGATATTTGTCATTAAATATATTAATCAATTTTTTGTTATGAAATTCACCTTTTTTCCCTTTGAAAAAGCATACCTATTGCTATTAGATGTCATAAGTCTCAAAATAATAGTAGAAAATCAGATGTTTATTACTCCAGTTAAAAAATGGTTTTGGGGCACCTGGGTGGCCCAGTCCTTTAAGCCCTTGATTTTCGCATAGGCTGTGATCTTATGCTTTGTGTGATCGAGCCTTGCATGGGGCTCTGTGCTGACAGTCTGCTTGGGATTCTTTTTCTCTCCCTCTTGCTCTGCCCCTGTCCTGCTCGAACTCTGTCTCTCTGTCTCTCTCTCTCTCTCAAAATAAATAAATAAACATTAAAAAAAAATGATTTTTAGAGAACAAAACACTGTAGAGGTGCTCTGACACAGTCATTTGATTTCTGTGGCCACTGACATTGATATATTTGAATATGAATGAATAGGCCAGTTAAACTTTAATTTTTTTGTGGCAAAATCATAGTTAGTCGTGAAATCCTGTGTATTCTTCCCCTGTCGCTATTTAGATAATGATAAAAATATTGACTATGTCAATGTAAGAAAAAAGGTACGAAAAAGAATACAGTAGAGTATAAAGTAAACGAAAATAGGTTGTTGGGAGTGGACTTTGTCCTCATGGAGTTTGCAGTAAACTGGAGAAGATGAAGAGTAAATAAGCAAATAACTACAAATTCTATAGCTGTTACAAGTAAGGAAGGAAAGTGTGGATCCTGACTGAAGTTCTGACAGGGGATTTCACTTGGCTTATAGGCCTAAAGAGGAGACTGAGATTGAGGTGGTATTCATCAAGTCTCAACAATTATCTGATTATGAGTTTTGAGGGGCTAACTAGGTGAGTAGCAAGTAGAACTCGAAGATAATGAAACTTTAAAAAAGTGTTTGAGTTGTGTGGATTTCTTCAGTTTATAATTGGTTTTAAAAGTGACACTTTGGGAGTTTTCTTAATAGTCATTGAGAAGGGCTAAGAACTACATTTATGGAGAGTAAGATAGGCTTCATATCCATGCTAAACATTAAACTGGAAGAGTCTTTTTACATTAAAGGAAAACTCAGAAAAGTAAAAACGATTTTGTTGACACTTTTGAGTCCTAATTATCGTGTTGATTGTCAATATCAGTATGGGAAATTTAACCTTGGGCATTTGTTTTTTTAAGCCATTATTGCTAGTTGGCAGGAAAGTAAGCTTTTCCTGTAACCAAGAGTGTTAAAATTAAAATGTCTGTTTTATAGGATTTTTCCATTTAGGTAGCAACCCAGATTCTCTAAAACCTGAGCTCTCAAGGAAAAAAAAGAAGAAAGGACTCAGGATTAAAAAAAAAAATCCTAACCAGAAAAGTTTATGAAACAGGAATTCTTTGAGAACTTGAAAATTTGGAGTTTCTTATGAAATCTTAGACATAAAATGCCGTTTTCTGATCCATTGCTGAAAACAGGATCCTTTCTAAATTTTTTAGTTTTACATAAACCATCTTAATCCTTGTTTTTGTTTTCTGCCTTGCTTTTTGGATACCACTTTAAATGTATTTGTTGGCCATTTACTCTGTGCCAGGCACTGTTTTGTGACTTTCTTCTATTAACTGATTTAATCCTCACAACTTATCTCTAAGGTATAGATTTGTCCATTTTACAGATGAGGACCCCGTGAGGCAGCAAGAGGTTAAATAACCCAGTAACTTGCCAAAAGTAGCACAGCTGATAAGTGGTAGATGAAACTAAACTGTTAGCTTGATATTTAAGAATAAATGATGTCTGGGGCGCCTGGGTGGCGCAGTCGGTTAAGTGTCCGACTTCAACCAGGTCATGATCTCGCGGTCCCTGAGTTCAAGCCCCGCGTCAGGCTCTGGGCTGATGGCTCAGAGCCTGGAGCCTGTTTCCGATTCTGTGTCTCCCTCTCTCTCTGCCCCTCCCCCATTCATGCTCTGTCTCTCTCTGTCCCAAAAATAAATAAACGTTGAAAAAAATTTAAAAAAAAAAAAAAAAAAAAAAAAAAAAAAAAAAAAAAAAAAAAAAAAAAAAAAAAAAGAATAAATGATGTCTATAATCAGTTGCATTTGTTTTTCTAATATTAGCCTATTTTTGTTTGTTTGTTTTCCAGGATTTGTTGATGTACCTATTACAGCTGGTCCAGGCTCTCAAATATGAAAATTTTGATGACATAAAGAATGGATTAGAACCTACCAAGAAGGATAGTCAGGGTTCAGTGTCAGAGAGTGTGTCAAATTCTGGAATCAATTCTGCAGAAATAGATAGGTATGGATATGCAGGGAGGACTTATGTTCAAATCTAATAGTCTCCCCTCTTTTCAAATTTCTCCTTTCCTTTTTCCTTAGATGTACCAGGCCCTAGTTGGTACTGAGTTTAAAGTTGTACCGATAAATGTGACATATGCACTCACAGAACACACATTACTGTATTACAGAGCAGTGTTTTGCAAGCTGTGGAGTCAGAATACTTGAGTGAAAATCTTGACTCTGCCACTTACTAGCTGTGTAAACTTGTGTAAGGTGCATAATCTCTGCTTGGCCCCAGTTTCTCATCTTAAAAATGGGAATATAATAATAGTAACTGATTTTTGCAGGTTGTTGGAAGATTAAATGAGTTAATACACATAAAGCACTTAAGATAGTGCTTGGTAAGAGTTAGAAACTGCTCATGCAAAAATAAAACAAATGGTGGGGCATGGTAGTGGACTCAAATATTTTATTGTAAAGTTTATGTTTTACACCTTTATGCTTTGCACCTTTTTAGTAGTCATAATAAAAAAAAATGCCATAGTACTTGAATTAAAAGCTGTTAACAACAATGACAATTAAGAACTCCCACCTCTGTAGCAGACACTGTGAGGGGGCCCACATACATTAAGTCATTTTAATAACCCTCTGAAGTACATATTCATATCTCTAATTTAGAAATGAAGGACTGAACAAGAAGTTAATTGTCCAGAGTCTTATATCCTGCAAATGGTAGAGTTGACTCTAAAGCCCATGTTCTTTCTACTTTGCCATTTTGGTTTCCATAAAATCTTAAAGAATTTGAGACAAATTTTCTCACCTTTGGGTGAGAAACCTGAGGCTCATTGATGAAAATTATTTTGTGAAGGTCATGAGATTTGTTAATGACAGATGAGGTCTAGAATTCAGATTTCCTGAATTAGTCCAATGATTACAATTATCCCATGGGCTTAAGTTTGTGTTTTTGAATTTTTCACTATGATTATGATACTGCTGTTTTTATCTTCTGTGTTTCATTTGAAGAAGAACAGAAAAACGGGAAAGATCATTTTTTTTCTTCTATTGTCTGCTTTATATTTTTTGTTTTTAAAAGAACAGACCCTTGACTTTGTCTTCCACTGTACATTGGAGGTCTTCGGTCTCCAGTCATGCTTATTTACCTTCTTTCTTACTTCTGCCACCTAGAATATTTTCTTAGAAGTCTGTTAAGATTTTACAATGTAATGTAAGCTGTAATTGAGTATTTCCCGATTATGGTCTGCTGCTCACTAACTTCTATATTTTGTAAAAAGATAAAAAAAAAAAAAAGAGATGGGCTGCTCTTGTGGGCAGAAATGTTTGGGAAATGGTGGTTTAAATTAAAATGGGCTTTTCAAAAAACTACAGTACTTATCAAAAACCTTTAATATGCCAGCTTGCACAAAAATCTTCCGAGAGGACTGTGGCCCATATTTGTTGACTATAGGCTTTTTCCAGGCTATAATGTGACTCTAGTGTTGCACACAACATGCTTTAGGAAGTGATGCTTTAACCAGACAGAGCTGAGGTGAACTATGCTAAAAAATGTATATCTTCTCTTATAGGCAGAGTATTTTACCTATCAGTTATATCTCCTATTACTTTTTCAGCTCCCAAATTATAACCAGCCCTCTTCCTCCAGTGTCTTCCCCTCCTCCTGCATCCAAAACAAAAGACAGTTCAGATGGTGAAAATCTAGAGGTGAGTACAAAGCTTTTCAAGTTTCCTACAGGAGAAATCTTATAAGATTTCAAATGAACATTTTATGTTGGTCTTTAAAACATTGATTTTGATTAATAAACAAAATATTACAACCTTATTAAATAACTTGTTTTATGATGTATGTTTATGACTTTCTTCTCAGCAAAAAGTGCCAGATAGTCAATTCAAGGCATTTTATTGGTGCTTTGGGCATATAAATGGATTAATGAGAAATGTGAAAATAAACTGGGCGTAAATATTTTATTAAGGAAACTCAGAATATTTATTGTTAACATTTATGAATATTACTGTAATTGTCGGTATTTGTGATTACATTGTAGAAATGTATGACTTTGATACTGGGACTTTTATACTAAGTAGCTGTTTTTAACACATAGAGAAAAATTAAGTGAAGTTCTTCTAAATAAGTAGACTGATTTCTGAGGTAAAATAGGCCAAATAGGCTAGCACTACTCTGAAAGGTACTTTTGGAAGTACATTTGCAGAAGCTGATGAAGTATGTTGTTGAATTTCTCCCCAAGACTTCTAATTTGAGAAGAACTTTTCACATCTCTGATGTTGAAAACAAATAGTACACGCTTTGATACTAGAAAGTTCAGCTAATTTTTTTTTAATGTATATGCATATTGCTTTTAGTCAGATTTTAGGAGTTAATGAGTGCATTATTTCTGTTTTTATTACCGTTAACCAGAGTTTGATATCTGCCTACCTTTTGATATAATAGGAAATATTTAAAAAATTTTACATTATAGGATCATAGAATCCTTAGGGGAGCCCTTTAAGTAAAGAACCATTTAGCTCCAGTTTAATTGTTTTGCCTTTTCAAAGCTAAGGTACTGATAGATTGATTCAATAATTCATCCTTTCACACACTTTTTTAAAAAAAGTTTATTTATTATTTTAAAAATTTTTATTTTTTATATTAAAAATTTTTTTAGATTTTAAATGTAAATTAAACATTTTAATTTAATTTAATTTTTTATATTAAATTTTTTTTAAATTTTATTTACTTTTGAGAGAGAGAGAGAGAGTGTGAGCAGGGGAGGGACAGAGAGAGAGACACACACAGAATCTGAAGCAGGCTGCAGGCTTTGAGCTGTCAGCACAGAGCCTGACGTGGGGCTCAAACTCATGAACCATGAGATCATGACCTGAGCCGAAAGAAGTTGGATGCTTAACCAACTGAGCCACCCAAGCATCCTTTAAGTTTATTTATTTTGAGAGAGAGAGACAGGGAGAGAAAGAATCCCAAGCAGGGTCTGCACTGTCAATGTGGATCCTGATGCGGGTTTCGAACTCATGAGCCCTGAGATCATTACCTGAGCTGAAACCAAAAGTCAGATGCTTAATCGACAGACACCTAGGCACCCCTCACACATATTTTTTAAGCTCTTATTATGTACCAGAAACTATCCAAGGTGTGGGGGATGGTGCAAGAGAGAACAAAAGAGTCAAAATCTTTGTCTTCATGGAGCTTATATTCTGGTGTTGAGGCTGATGATAGTGATACTTATATATAGTAGAAAAGATAATAATATCTACTTTTTAAGGAAAAAATAAATCAGAGAGGGATGATTGGGGGGTGTTGGGGTGGGGTTAGACAGTTGTGATTTTGAAAAGCGGTCAGGGAAGGCCTCCCTGAAAAAGTAACATCTTTTGTAAAGGTGATAGAAGTGAGGGAACAACCATGTGGATGGTCTGGGGAAAGGAGCATGTGAGGCAGAGGGAACAGCCAGTATAGAGGCCAGAGCTTAAGTGTGTGAGGAAGAGCAGAGGATGCCTAGCTCCAGAGAGTGAGCAGAAGGGAGCATGGGAGAAGAATGAGTCCAAGAAACAGCGGGAGATTAGCCATGCAGGACCTTGCAGGCCATGTTACCAAATGACTTTTACTGAGAAGCTATTAAAATAATCCACATAAGACTTGTTGGTGACTTAAACTAGGATAGTTTACATTGAAGAGTGTGTGAGGTGATTGGATTCTGAATGTTATATTCAGAATACAGTTGTACACACTGTCACTCGAACTTTAGGCTAAAAATAAAAATAGTTTTTACATATTTCTGATTCCTTCTCTTGTGAAAGAAGGTATATTCCCCAATTTTTGGATACACCATTGTACATGTCTGTTTGACCTGTTATTACTTAGTGATTAAGCCATTCTGCCTTTTCTCAGCTGAATAGTTTCTTAAAGGGTTTATGTAATTCAAGCTTTCCCAGAAAGCACTGGGACTTATTTTGAGTACTTTTTCCCTCCCCTTTCCTGTATTGCTCCCAGCAGAGTAATAATGCTGCACATGCAGTCATCCCCTTTAAGGTACTTCTAAATGATTAAGTGTTTAGAGATGTCTAGGTATTATTATCTGACCAAGCTGAAATTCCCTCTCTTATCACTGCAGATACTAACATTCTTGTCTTCTCTTTGGCACTTGAGGAGTGTCTTGCCTTTTCCCATCATTCCTTTCCCTGTTCTTAGAGTTTTAGGAAACCACTATGCATGTCTGGCCAAATGTTAGAAACAAAATAGAAACTCAGCTAATCTAATTGCACAAATATGGTCATTTTCCATAAATTCCCTGGATTCTTGAAAAGAAGATATATTCCCCAATTGTTGGGTACACTATTGTACATTTATCACTAGAACAAGCTTGAAGTTTTTCTGTGTTTGATATCTTAAGAATTAGGGTAGGGGCGCCTGCGTGGCGCAGTCGGTTAAGTGTCCGACTTCAGCCAGGTCACGATCTCGCGGTCTGTGAGTTCGAGCCCCGCGTCAGGCTCTGGGCCGATGGCTCGGAGCCTGGAGCCTGTTTCCGATTCTGTGTCTCCCTCTCTCTCTGCCCCTCCCCGTTCATGCTCTGTCTCTCTCTGTCCCAAAAATAAATAAAAAACGTTGAAAAAAATTAAAAAAAAAAAAAAAAAAAGAATTAGGGTAAAAATACCTCTGTATCATGGTAGAATTGTCAATTTCTCCTTTTTGCCCCCTGTTGATGTTTGCTTTAAATATTTTGAAACTGTTTTATTAGGTGCATTCGAGTAAATTGATTCTTTTATCACTGTTTATTAATGACCTCCTTTATATTTAATCATATTATTTGCCTTAAAGTCTGTTTTGTTTGATAGTAATGGAACTTCGTCTTGATCAGTGTTCACTGGTACACTTTTCAGTCCTTTCATTTGAGTTTTTCTCTGGAAAGCATATAGCTAGAGTTCGTTTTTCAATCCTGTTTAACACTATTGTCTTTTAACTGGAGGTTTTACCCCATTTTTATTGTGTTTAGAGCTCTATTTGGATTTATTTCCTCATCTTATGTGTTGGTACTTTTCTCTCCTTAAATATTTTTTCCTTGCCTCTATTTGGCTGGATCCCCTTCCTATCCTTTGTCTCTACCCCTAACTTGGAGGTTATATTGTCTTTATCAATTCTTTAACTGTGGTAGATATTTTAACATCCATCTTTTAAATTTGGCATAAGAAGTATTATCCTCCTCCAAAACAGTGTACCTCTTTACTTGTATGTCACTTTTACCCAGTGACTCAGTCCTATCTTATTTAATTCCCTAATTAGATAATATTATTGTTGTAAACAGTAGTAATAAGTATTTAGAGGTATTTATCTGTGTTCTTATTTACTGTTTCTTTTTATATCTTTGACCTTTAATAGGAGATCATTTTTTTCCCTAAAGCACATTTTTTTCTAGTTGTTTTAAAATTTTAAAAATTGCTCACCTAAATTGAGTTTAAAAATTGATAGTACATATATATGTACTAGCAAAAAGTACATTTGTTTCACAAATATTTTTATATTTAATTCTTCCCTGTTTATATAAGCTCTGTAAATCATTTTTTAATGAAAACAGCACACTGTCAAGTGAAATATGTGTACTCTATTCAAGTATATTTACAAAACTATATAAGACCATAATGTCCTTCTCAGAAAGCCAGAGATAAACTTTAGGCTTAGATTCTACCTGTTACATACATGGATTCAGTATTATGGCTTTCTGGTTGAGGCATTTCCTTACTGTACATTTAAATGTTGCCCATTTAAAATCTAGTGCTGAGGTTTTGGCTCTAAAATTAGATAAAATTCTTGCCACTTCTGACAGCATCTGGCATATCTGCTTTGTGATAACAACCTTTTATTACTAGAGCTTACTTTCTGAAATACCCCTACCACATAGACACTTCTAGTCTGTTGATCTCTACCCCTTTTTTTTGTTCATCAGCCCCCTTCAATATTTGCTTTCCTCCGAATATAGCTTTTATCCCTTGGCTCAGCATTTTAGTCATTTTTTTTATTAGTACCTTCAGTTCCCCTAGTGAAATCTCAGCTCTTGATAAGGCTATTTACCCAATTGCTTTATACCTGAATATTGCTGAAGAAAAGCACATAGCCTAGCATGTTGGCATTACTCTAAATTCATGATCATAGACATCAGGTGGGCACTCAATGCTGTCTGCCATCTTAAATTTCTCTCAGTGGGTTGGGTTGCTCTCCCTGCTCTGCAGTGACTCCTTCCTACTTTTTCTACTCTGTTCTTCATGCCCTGCCTCACACTTAATGGAAACAAATAGAAGTCACTAGGTAAGAATGGTCTCAATTTCCCATCACCAGGATTTACAGAATCCTTTTCCATCCTTTCCTTCTGTTTTCTTACACAGAAGAAATATAACTCCCTTCAAAGATACATTCTCTTCTTTTCCTGGTAGAAATATTCAAATATCTCAGTAGCTCTTATCTGAAAAATTCAAAAATGAAACAAAACAAAACAAAAAAAACTCTTGACACCATATCCTTTGAAACAGCACCTTTATGATCAAGCTTCTAAAAGGAGTTGTTTGTACAAACTGACTCTTCTTCCTTTCTTTCCATTCTTTAATCCACATCATTCTGGCCTTGGCTTCCCATCTTTATATCAAAACTTACTTTGCTAAAGTGGGAAATGACTTTAATTTTTGTGGTTATATATACTTCTCAGTTCCTCTTTGCAGTATTCAGCAAAGTAAATGGCTCCCTTCTTGAAGGACACTTCTCATGGTTTAGATGATACTGTACAGCCCATGTTTTCCTCCTCACTTCTCTGGCTGCGCCTTCTCAGTTCCCTTTGTCAGCACTTTCTCTGCTGCCTGACATTTTAATGTTCCTCAAGGTCTCAATTTATACTCTTGCCCCAGGCAGTACTGATAAACTCAAATTTATATGTCTTGCACATTTCTCTCATCTGAGTTTTAGATTCATATATCCAGAAACCTCCTTGATCTCCTTTATATATCCGACAGGCATTTCAAAGTTAATATTTCAACGTTTATTTATTTTTGGGACAGAGAGAGACAGAGCATGAACGGGGGAGGGGCAGAGAGAGAGGGAGACACAGAATCGGAAACAGGCTCCAGGCTCTGAGCCGTCAGCCCAGAGCCCAACGCGGGGCTCGAACTCACGGACCGCGAGATCGTGACCTGGCTGAAGCCGGACGCCTAACCGACTGCGCCACCCAGGTGCCCCTCAAAGTTAATATTTCAAAATACAACTCTTTCCCCACACTCCAACCTGTTCCTCGGTTGGAATTTCCATCTGTGAAGTAGCAGATCAGCCCATTTGTTAAACCTATACATTTGGAAGTTACTGTCCATTCTTTTCCTTCCTTCTTCCTTTCCGTCAGCAAGTCTTATTAATTATACTTCCCAAATGTTTTAAAAATCTGTTTTTTCCTCTCCATCTTCATTCTCAAGGTTCACTCTTGCAGACTACTGTAATAAGCATCCTAACTGATCTCAGGCCTATACTTCTCAGAGCAGCTGGAGTCATTTTCATAAAATAGAAATCAGATCATCTCATTCTTCTGCCTAAGACCTTTTGTTCGGTATCCATTGCTTTGCAGACAAAATCCATACTCAATAGTATGACCTTAAAGGTCTTGCACAATTGGGCTTTGCCTGCCTTTTCAGCCTCCTTTACTTTCATGTTCACCATATTTAGCTCTACCAGGCACGGTCAAGTTTAGGGCCCCTGTACATAGTGTCATTTTGGTCTTGCCTAATATCACATCCCCATCGCTGCCTTTTCTGACCTCCTGTGATCTGAATTATTCCTCTGACTTTCTTTGATGTCTGTCCTCCACGAAGTGTTAAACTCTAGTAGGACAAGTAACTCTGTGAACTGTGATGTCGTTAGCCTCTCATATTCTGCCTGATTGAGAATAAATATTGGATGAAGGGATGGTGGGATAGATGGATATGTGAAAATCTGATCTGTGACGAGATATGTAGATCAAAACGATAGACAAACATAGACTCTCTTCTTTCCTTCTTGTTATTAGCAGATGGTAATAAATATACATTTCTTTTAATTCTTTCAGCAAGATCTCTGTACCTTCTTGATATCAAGAGCCTGCAAAAACTCAACACTGGCTAATTATTTATACTGGTATGTGAAATAATTTTCTGTTTATTTTCTTATTACTGGTGAGGACTATTTTTTTCCCCATACTATAAACATAAAGGCAGTTTAAAATAAGGTATAAGAAGTCATCAAAAGCCTAAGTGTAGTACTTACATCTCTCTGGCTGTGCTTCTTTACAACTGTGCTCGTGGAAATGCTTGTTGGCACCACTGTTTGTCTTCCCTTTACTGATTTGCCACGATCTAAGATAAAACTGGGTAATGGTTTTGCAGTTTGATGTCTGTTTGCCTTTTATGCTATTTAAGTAAAGGATGATACATCACAGTCCTTGAGGAGTGTGTATTTTCACATTGTTTAACAAAACATTGGAATCATGCAAACACAGGAAGTTGGAATTTGAAGTTACCTCTCTCATAAATGAAGAAACTGAGGCAGAGAGAGGCATGATATAACTCAACTGGGTAGAACCTCAGTTAGAATTAGATCATTTACTTAGCACTTTGCCATTTATAGAATACTTTCAGTGACCTTTTCTCACTTGTTCCCATGAAGTTAAATAGGGCAAGTAGAAGTATCTGTATTTTACATGAGAAAGGTTCCCTTTTGAGTTGAAGGAAGAGAAACTAAGGCCATAGAAAGTTTGACTGATTTCCTGAGACACAAGTAATATGAGGCTTGGCTCCCTTTATCTGTCAGAGGATATTAAAGTGGAAAGGACAAGTAGGTTAAGCCCCAATGAGTAATATATTGGTTAAATGAAAGAAGGCACAATGTTTAAACACTAGACAAGAGAGACTTATCCAGTTTTATAGAGCAAAGGAAGGTCCAAGCCAGCTGGGCCAGCCTTACCTGAAGCCTTCTGTACATTCAGAAATGTTTAAACTTCTTGACATACTGGATAGTATTTAACTATGGAAATTATCTCTGATCTAAAATACTCCTTGACTGTGTTTGTTTAAACAGTAGAAATGAATAGATACCCATTTTGAAAACTCATTATTTTTGAAGTATAATGAGGCATTTTGCTTTCCATGAAGAAATGAAACAAAATACTGTCTTGTTTTAGACTGAGTTTGGAAAACTGTGCTGTAGATCAAATCAAGCCTTAACTTCATTCCCCCATTCTCCAAACATAATGTTATTTTGGACACTGCCCTTGTAGCCAAGAAATAGGCAACTAAATCAGAGGACTCTTATACAAAGATAGCTGTCCATTATGGACATAAACAGTAAATAATTGTTTAGTTTTAACCTTTATGGTTCCCTTTATGATGAAGAAAAACTGCTATCAATAATTGTGACTAAATTTGTCTCCCCCTCCCTCACACTCCTTACCCTGTTTTTTTTTTGAACTCCACGTGATGAAGAAAACTGTCCCTTGTCCAATAGTTGGCCATTGTCCGTCCGTCCGCTGAATGCTTTCAATACCCTCCCACACCCCCCATTGTTGTCCGATGGACATTGATACCATATTACCCCCATTATTACTATTGTCCATTAATGCTTTTTGCTATTGGGTTGGAACCTGTACTTTTTTTTTCCCTATTGATCTTAGTAATGGAAAGAAAAATACAGTTCTACTGATATTGTCATTTTAAGATGATAATATTCCCAAAACTACATTTCTTTCTGTCCGGAGGCACAAAATGATTTCAGTGTAACTTAAAAAAACACCACAGAATTGTTTTTGTCTGACTGTTACAATCCTCTTTTAACATGGAAAAGTTGCGGAATTCACATAAACAAATACCTTCCGATTTCTTTCAGGCAATGTAATCTGTTGCTACCATATAATGTTTCTCCATATGGGTCAATCAATTTCTTAAATGTGTTGTCTGTTCATTATTCAGCGCGGCATAGTTATGGGCTAGTTTTCCTCGTTCATGACCTTGAACATCTAATATGTCCTTAAAATAAATCCATAAAAAATGGCAGCACTCAACGCTGATTTTTTGATATTGAGGCTAAGGCTAGTTCACAAGCTTCTCGTCCATACATTTTTTTTTTTTGCTTTTTTATTAGCTGGTCTGTTTTTTATTTTGGGACAGATTCATGAAGCTGTCCGCCAAACATGCCATGTTGAGCATTATTTGAGGAGAGGGATTTTCAAGGAGGCATAGAGGAGACACAGGCCGCTGAGAAGGTTAGTTCAAGCAAGGCTCTGCCGCTATTATGCTCTGAGCAGATCCGTCCAACCAGGGAAGCCAGCCGGTGAGACTAGAACTCATCCTCACGGACCATCCTGAGATGGAATAGACCCCCTGTTGGAATAGCATTTATTTCATTTATAAATTTCGATTTTATAGATTTTTTAGATTCATTATGATTAGATTCCTTTAAAAAAACCACAGAATGTTGTCTACCGTTGTTAACTCACCATTTTTATTTTTGAAAGTTTATCTGGCCGATGTCACATTGTAACAATCCTTTTTGTAATGTAATCTGTTGCTTCCTAATGTTCTCCATATTCCAATCTAATTTCTTAAATGTGTGTCTATTCACTGGTGTTATGGAAAATTTCCTCATGAACATCTAAGTAAATATTTAAAAGGAAATAAAAAAAATGTGGCACTTCAGCATAAGTTGTAGTTTTTAGAAGTACTTACCTTTACAAGCGTATTTTTTTTTTTTTTTTTAACGCTTTATTTATTTTGGGACAGAGGTACAAGGCAGACGGGAGGGGCAGAGAGGTAACAGAGAATCAGAACGACTCAGGCTCTGAGCCGTCAGCTCAATTTACTGGTCTGAATCATGATCATGAGATCGCGGACCTGGTTGAAGTCGATCAACCTGAATTGTCAACTTATGCCCCAGCTTTTAAATTAAGTTTTAATTTTTTAAGTCATTTACTTAAAAATACCTTTATAGGTATTTTTGTTTTCTCGCACTATCTATAAAGAGTTTTCTCTGGCTCAGAATTTATAGTCTAGAGTAGTCACTTTTGTAAGAACTATGTGTGCATATACTGATTAAATGGTGTTTTAAAATTCTGTATTCAGATTTAATTGGAGACCAGATTTCATTGTAGAATCTCAAGTTAGTTGTGATAGAAACTTTGATCTCTTATTTCAAGTAGGAAAATTTTCAAACCATTTTGAAAACAGCTAAACAATAGGAACCCTGTTAGAGGAACAATTTCCAACAAGGCAGTAGCTTCCATTCAGAAAGAGTGCTTTTTTTTCTCCATAGACGATAAACAAAGTGCAACTCCAACTCCCAGTCTTAGAAGCATTCCATCAAACTTAGATTTGATTTGTGTTTTCCTGCTATATCTCTGATTCATTGAAGCAATAGCATGTGCTGTGTCTGTTCCTTCTCAGAGGAGTAATTGTTTTTCCTGTAGTTACAGTCTGCATATTACATATTCAGAAATACTCACAGGGAGGAAAAAGCTATTGATGGGGGCTTCTGACGTTGGTAGACACTGCTTTTGTGATTGTTGGGTGAAAACATGGAAAATAATTTCAGTACTTGGTTTAAAATGATCATTCTCTTCCTTTGAACATGGACAAAATAGTATAAAAATATTAATCAAATGTAACATTTCAAGGCCTCTCACTCTAAGCGTACTCTTATTATATAACATAAAAATTTTAATTGATTGTGCTATTTTCTTCTGAACATTTTGAATTTCCTTTTTCATTTGTTGCCTTTCCAGTGATTTAAATGGGATTCCTGCTATAGCTGAATCCTTAGGGGCCTATAGTTGTACAGACAATCCTTTTAAAATGAATAGTGTCAACCTTTTAAGCCACAGAGGGGAGTTATAGTCTCCAATCTGTAAAGTGTTAGGCATCAGGATCTATAAATCGTTCCACTTTTTTATTTTTATAGCTATTCCAGTATGTCGAAATTGAAAGTAAACTTTGGATGCTTTGACATGTTTTTGTATGACTGTTAAGACCTTTCAAGGTAATAAAGGTTATTTACCTCACAAAATGAAATTGCCAGGAAGCAGGTAGCCCACTGATGTCATCTTACAATGGGTACCTGGACAGTTTTGTCTGCATTTCTACTTGAAGATGATAGGTTTCAAGGGAATACCTTAGAGTGCTTTGTAGAATCTACTTACTGCTGGGACCAGAAGATTCAGAAATGATTCAAATCTACGTCTTTTAGTCTTGATCTAAATTTGTCCTTCATATATAATTGTCATGATATAAATGACACTGTCATCTGTATTTTAGATGGACTTTTCTTTTTGTAGAAGAACTTTGGCTTGGAAGAGTTTTGACCTTTATCCTGAGCATCAATGTAGACCCTCAGTCAAAGGAAATAGCTGTGACCATTGTGTGTTTACTTGGTGGTCAGGGAGACCTGAACAAAGCAATGGCTATATGTTCTGGTTATCTGTATTGTTCATTTGGAAGTGAATTTCTGTGTAAACACACAGAAAAAGACAATATACTAAGGTGATGGAGATAGTCAAGGACTTTAAAGGATGGAAAGTTTTGGATAGGTTTTGTATAGGACTGTGTTGGCAGTTTTATAGTTTAGAATCACTGTCTATTTAACACTCCTAGGTAGTATCCTGAAATGACCAAACATTTTGGAATACTGTGAATAGGAAATAGGAGTTTATCTTAACTGTTCTAGCTTATTCATCTACAACAGAGCTGTCCAATGAAACTTTCTGCAGTGATGGAAATTATCTATAATGCTGCACATAAGGCTACTGAACACCTGAAATGTAGAATGTGTGATTGAAACACTACATTTTTAATTTTGTTTGATTTTAATTAATTTTATTAGTATAAATACTATTTAGTCATATGTATCCTGTGGCTCTAGAAGGCTTCCTTGATTCAAGATTAAAGAACGCCTTCTTGAATTTTTGGCTTAGAACTTCTGTTGGGAACATGATATGGTGGCTGTAAGGTCATGGTTCAGTTCTTCATTCCACTTTACAGAAAATTCTAGGTTGTGCAACTCTATGACTTCAGAACAGCTGCTATTATCATGGTAAACCATTGCACTGGTTGGCTAATAGAGGAGGTAGAGAGGCTTTTACTTTTATCAGTCCTTAAAATTTTTCTGTGTGTAGGACTATTAGGGGTGTATCCGGGGCTGCTGAAAAATTTTAAGATATGGCATATGGCATCAGTTTCTTTGTAATCTATGAAGGGAACTAAGAGTTAAACACATGAAACAGTGATGAGCTAGGTAACATCAGCACAAGTTGTCTGAGAGGCAAGGCCTATTCTAGGAAATCAGAGAAGAGTGAACTCGTCAGGGTCTGTGAAGACTTCCTAGAAGAGATCAAGTGTCTCCTGTACTTGAAGGGTGAGTAGAATATGGAAAGGTGGAGACTGGAAGGTCTTTCTGGAAATTCCTACAACATGAGCAAGAGCACCAAGTGAGTGCATACTAGGAGTGGTTAGGGGACTGACCTGACTGCAGTGTGTGTGCATACATTGAGGATAGTGGATGTTTGAACCAGATGCTTGGGGCCACAGAAACTGTTTTAAAATAGTCAAGGGGCACCTGGGTGGCTCAGTCGGTTAAGTGTCTGACTTGGGCTCAGGTTAGGATCTCATGGTTCATGAGTTCGAACCGCACATCGGGCTCTGTGCTGACAGCTCAGAGAATCTGAAGCCTGCTTCAGATTCTCTCCCTGCCCTTTCCCTGCTCATGCTCTGTCTCTCTCTTTTTGTCAAAAATAAATAAATATTGAAATTTAAAATGGTAGTCAAGAGGGAACCATTGATGTTTTTGTTAATACAGGTGGAACATTATGAAGATAGTTTAAAGAAGAAAAATTTAGGGGGCTTCTGCGTGGCTCAGTCAGTTGAGTACCCAACTCTTGATTTTGGCTCAGGTCATGATCTCATGGTTGTGAGATCAAGTACCCTGTCCGCTCCACACGGAGGATGGAGCCTGCTTAAGATTCTCTTTCAGGGTACCTGGTTGGCTCAGTAGGTTAAGCGTCCGACTTCGGCTCAGGTCATGATCTCACGTTTCATGGGTTCAAGCCCGCATTGGGCTCTGTACTGACAACTCAGAGCTTGGAGCCTGCTTCAGGTTCTGTGTCTTCTTTTCTCTCTGCCCTTTCCCTGCTCGTGCTCTGTCTCTCTTTCTCAAAAATAAATAAATATTAAAAAATTGATCCACTGAAATCAATTTAAAGCCTCACAGTCTAGCATTTGTTATTTAAAGAAAAATGAAATAGAACAGAGTAGCAAATATTAAGATATTGTTTATAGAGTATTTTTGAAACTTTTTTTCCGTTTTTTGGGCATCTGTGTGTACCCACATGGCTGTGTGTCCTGAGTTGTGATATAAAATGTGTTTGTTAGTATGGCTTGTTCCCATGAGAGGAGTTAGAAAACATTGGTGTCTGAGATCTAATTCAGATCAGTGGTTATATGACTTGGCAATTATATAAGCAGTTCGGGTGTAAAAATATATTAAAAATTTCTTTAACCCTCTAAAACCATAATTTTGTGATACACAAATTTATATATGATTATATATGGATTTTTGAGAAATGGGGAGATTGGATGGGAAAAAAACCATTTTAAAATTATTTTGCAAAAGTATGTAAATGAGAAGTTAGCTTCCGAGTAGTTTTCAAAATAAGAGCCATATGTAATACCAAAAGTATTACACAGATTATGAAAATATTGTTTGAGTTACTTGGTAGACATGGGAGCTTCGATGATTTCTGAGGATGGTAATGCTGTATGTACCTTATAAAGTATTAGGAGAAAATGTTGGCATCAAAAGAACATCTAGGATATTATACAAATTAAGGCGTTATTGTTATTAATTTACTTTTTTATAAATGGTTGTATATGTGCCCTACTTTTCCACTTTTATTGTTTTTAAAATTTTTAAAGTTTATTTATTTTGAGAGAGAGAGAGAGACAGACAGACAGACAGACTGCATGTGTGTGAGGGAGGGGCAGAGCGAGAAGAGAGAGAGAATCCTAACCAGGCTCCACACTATCAGCATGGAGCCCAATTCGGGACTTGAACTCCCAAACTGTGAGAGCCAAAATCAAGAGTCAGATGCTTAACTGTCTGAGCCACCCAGGTGCCCCTAATTTTCCACTTTTAAAGAGTGATGGAAGAATATGTTTCATTTCTTCCACTTATTTTTTGCAAATGTGAATTAATCAAGTTTTGTGGAAAAGAATATGTATTTACAAAATGAATCTGAGTGTCATTTCACCTCTTATGAATTTTTAAGGTATGTGATAGTGGAATGTGAAGATCAGGACACTCAGCAGAGAGATCCAAAGACCCATGAGATGTACTTAAATGTAATGAGACGATTCAGCCAAGCATTGTTGAAGGTAACCATTTAATGTAGGGGTTGCCAAAAACACCGTACATGGGCCAGATCTGGTCTGTTGCCTGTTTTGGTATGTCCCATGTGCTAAGGGTGGTTTTGATGTTTTTAAATGGTAGAAAAAACCAAAAAGAATAATATCTTGTGACATTTGAAAATTATGTAAAATTCAAATTTTGGTGTTCATATGTAAAATTTTATTGGAACATGATCATGTTCATTTGTTCTCATATTGTTTATGGCCACTTTTGCACTACAATAACAGTTGTATAGTTGAAATGGAAACTGTATGGCCAACAAGACCTAAAGTGTTTCTTCCTTGATCTTTTACAGGAAGTTCGTTGACTTCTGATTTAATGAAATAAAACTATACATGTAACAAATTCCAGAACTTTGCTTTTTTATTTCCCTTTGTCTTTTCTATTTTGTTTATCAAGATAGGTGCATTTTTAGAAATCTGACAATGGTCATATTGCAGGTACTTACTACATAACTTATATTTTTGCTTCCTTAACGGTTGTTAAAATCTATGTAAAGCCATTTTCTCCTCTTAGGTGTTGTGATTCTTAAAGCACTGTGGCACAGTGCAGCCAGCAGAGGGTGCATGGGCAGTGAGAACTGCCACATCATTGATCTGTGATTTGCTGCAGAAGTATATTACTTCACAGCATCTTTTATCTGCAGTTTCATGTTTCATGTTCTTAAAATTTTAAAGCACATCTTATTGAGCTCTTTGAGCCTAAACATTTCTATAGTTCTCAGAACTTCTCTGCATTTAGCTTATTGGCAGATAAGTACTTGGTTGTCTCTTCTAACGTCAGTCTGTCACAGCTTTTGTCATCTTGTGAAGAAATTTCATTTTCTCTGAGCTTAAATTTCCTCACTTTTCAAAATGAGGATGATAACATTTGCTCTTATACTGATAAGCCACCCTTATCAGTTTATTGAGAAGATTAAATGAGAAAATGTATTTTATAATATTTTATGAACTGGGTATTCACTACATAAGACTTTATGGCATTTAATTTTTATAACTTATATTTTACGAAGCAAGCATGCATTATGTTGCTATTTGAGTGCTTTCCTTTTTTTTTTTTTTTTTCCCAGTAGAGTTTTCGTTCCTTGAAGGTGATATTGTTTCTACCATATGCCCAGTGCATTTCTAAAGACATCATAGGCTTTCAGATACTTACTGAGTCAATGAGCGAATGCATTTTGGGTGAATGAATTCTATCTTATCACATGGTTGTATTTGAAAAAAAGTGCTGTTTTTGATAGATTAGTATTCGCTGAAGACTCAGATAATTTTCAACTTTGGAAGAGTTGGCAGTGTTTAAATAAGCTAGCAGTTTTCTCATTATCTCTGAATCAAGATAATTAATCTTTTTCAATTTCACTTTGTATTGAAGTTTGTAGCTATTAGAAGAATAAATAAAGATCACCCATGCTATTAAAGAAACCCTGATCATTATGCTACACAGAACTAATTTTCCTTTCCTTTGAATCCCTTCAGGGTGATAAGTCTGTCAGAGTTATGCGTTCTTTACTGGCTGCTCAGCAAACGTTTGTAGATCGTTTGGTGCATCTAATGAAGGCAGTGCAGCGTGAAAGCGGAAATCGTAAGAAAAAGGTAAACCTATGGGCTATGCTTTTTATTTTTGACTAATGATGTCTTGGTATCATAAAATACTGAGTCCTGGTACTATCTTTTTGGGTTGATCTATTTTATGAAATTCTTATGCAATTATAATAATAGGAGGATTTATAAGTATTGATTATATACAGGATCCTGTTTTATGAATTTATATCTATATAGGTATAGATAGATAGATTTAATCCTCACAACAACTCTGTAAGTTAGATGATGCTATTATCTCAATTATAAGAACAAATAGGGGTAGAGGGGTTAAGTAATTTGTCTACCATCCTCAGCTAGTAAATATTATAGTTGGGGTTTGTTCCTAGGCATTCTAAGTCCATATATATTTTTTAAGTTTATTTATTTATTTTGAGAGAGAGAGAGTGCAAGTGGGGGAGGGGCAGAGAGAGAGGGGGGACAGAGGATCCAAAGCGGGCTCTGTGCTGACAGCAGAAGGCCTGATGTGGGGGCTCAAACTCCCGAACCATGAGATCATGACCTGAGCTGAAGTTGGACGCTTAACTGACTGAGCCACCCAAGTGCCCCTCTATGTCCATATTTTTAATCTACAGTGCTTTATTGGGTCTCATTTTAGCATCTTAGCATCTTTGAATATAATCTGTTTGATGTGGAAAGGACCTGTACAGATCATTGCTACTGGAAGCACTCTGAGAAAATGAAAGTCCAGAGTGACTTGCCCAAGGTTGCAGAATTTATTGCTCGTGACCTCACTGGCTTTGCATCTGTTCTCATGGCTAGAACAGGGATCTTTCCATCAAGTAAGGCTTCTACTTGATGACAGTAGATGAGTATTTGTTCTTCATATGTTGTTTTTCCTCATCACTAGCCCAAATGATGTGAAGGATTCACTCTGAATCTTCTCTTTACCTAATCCCATCACAGGCAGATCTTTCTTAGTGATCTTTGTAAAAGAACACAACACACTTTACTGTTGTTCTTCAGACTTGTGAGAGGAAGGTGGAGAGAGGAAAAGGTGAAAAACTGAATCAGGAGTTCAAAGGCAGGGGATCAGCTGTAAAGAGAAATGCTAACAGATATGTGTGTAAGGAATAATATTCACAAGGTTAAGAAGGAGAAAATAGGCGGAAGAGAAACACATTTTTATTGAGATGACCTTTTTTGTTGTTGCTGAGAAAAATAAGAAACCAAAGTTAAATAACTAAATCCCTACTGCTGTTCCTTCTGGAGCCGCTCTCCCCAAAGGTGCCTGTGTGAGGGAGCAATGTAATCCCACATACCCACCTGCAGGAATTTCTGTTCCTGTGGCTGTCAGTGTGTGGCATAGATTTCAACCAGCTTGTTTTTGTGTGGTGTGCTCTTCTTTTTGGCACACACACGAGTCTCTGGCTACACTTCAATTTTAGCTATCCTGGAGGATAACTGACTCCTTACCTATTTGAGGCATTGCTTAAAGCTTCCTGAAATAACTTTTGTTTTTACCACACAGCCTAATATTTAAAAAAAGTTTTTTTAATGTTTATTCATTTTTGAGAGAGAGACACAGAGTACGAGTCGGGGAGGGGCAGAGAGAGAGGAAAACACAGAATCTGAAGCAGGCTCCAGGCTCTGAGCTGTCAGTACAGAGCCCGATGCGGGGCTTGAACTCAAGAGCTGTGAGATCATGAACTGAGCCAATGTTGGATGGATGTTTAACCAACAGCCATTCAGGTGCCCCCAAAATTTAAAGCTTTCATTTTGAATGTTGTTAAGTATTCTCTTTTCACTTTATCATTCTTTAGGTGATAATATTCATGTATTTGTTGTATAAAAATGTATTGGGCATGCCTACAGCATGGATCTAGGGATACAGCAGCAAACATAAAGATCTCTATTCTTAGGGAGTTTTGGAGGAGAAAGTAAATAGAATAAATAAGTGAAATATGTAGCGTGCTAGATACTGTTGTATGCTACAGAGGAAAATAAAGCAGCAAAGGAAGTAGGAAGTGCTGGGTTTGAGGAGTAAGGCAGTGAGTATTTCACTTCTCAATAGAGTGGTCAGGAAGACCTCACTAAGAAGGTGACATTTGGACAAAGACCTGAAGCAGGTGAGGGAGCGAGCCATGTGAATATTTAGAGAAGACCATTGCAGCCAGAGGGACACCCAAGTACAAAAGCCCTGAGGTGAGAGTGTTTGTGTGTGTGTGTGTGTGCACGTGTGTACGTGCGCACGAGAGATGGAGAGATGTATGTGTGAAATAGGAAGAAGCCCGGTGTATTTGGAACAAAGGGAGACTGGGGGAGAGCAGTAGGGGATGAGGATGGAGGACAGAGATAATAGGGACACAGATGGAATATATCCTCGTAAGTCATTACAAGGACTTATGACTTAAACACTGAGTTAGCATAGAATCTGTTGGGAGTTTTGAACAGAAGAGTGACGTGACCTGACTTTGGTTTTAGCAGCAGTACTCTAGTTGTTTTTTGTTTGTTTTATGTTTATTTATTTTTGAGAGAGATTAGAGTATGAGCAGGGGAGGGGCAGAGAGAGAGAGGGAGACACAGATCTGAAGCAGGCTCCAGGCTCTGAGCTGTCAGCACAGAGCCCGATGTGGGGCTTGAACCCACAAACAGTGAGATCATGACCTGAGCTGAAGTCGGATGCTTAACCAACTGAGCCACCCAGGTGTCCCTAGTTGTTTATTTATGTTAAAGTTTATTTATTTTGAGAGAGAGAGAGACAGAGAGAGAGAGAGGGAGCAAGCACGTGCATGTGTGTGTGATTGGGGTGGGGCAGAGAGAAAGGGAGAGAGAGAGAGAATCCCAAGCAGGCTCTGTGCTATCAGTGCAGAGCCCAACCCGGGGCTTGATCTTGTAAACTGTGAGAAGTTGAGCCAAAGTCAAGTGTTGGACACTGAACCGACTGAGCCACCCAGGCGCCCCTCCTTTATGATGCATTGCACATAATTTTATGGTGCTTTGCAAACATTTTAAAGTTAGTAGAATTAGTTTTTATGTCTTTACCCTGTATATTATAAACTACCTTTACATTTTAACTCAGTTCTTTCTGATTTGTTCTCTTAGAATGAGAGACTACAGGCATTGCTTGGAGACAATGAAAAGATGAATTTGTCAGATGTGGAACTTATCCCATTGCCTTTAGAACCCCAGGTGAAAATTAGAGGAATAATCCCAGAAACAGCTACACTATTTAAGGTAATTGTGATGGATATCTAATGTATATCATTGGAACCTAATTCTGTAAAGCAAAAACTCCCTTCAACAATGATTACGTTGCAGACAATATCTAAATTTTGTTTGATTTAGTACATGCTAGATAAAAAATTGTCTTTTGTTTATTCAATGTGTCTTGATTTAAAGATCTTTTATTATCAGTAGGCATTTTTATGTGAAATGTGTAAAATACACTTTTTTTTTTTAACTCTGGGTTTTTTAATCTTTAATTTTTGAACTTTTTATTAATTAGAACCACACCTACTTTTTCCATGTAAGCTTTAAAAAAAAATAATTGCAAAACTTATATTACTCATTCAGTTCATAAATCCATGTAGTAGCAGTCTCAGTTAACCTTTTTAACATTTCTTGATCTGATATCTGTTCTTGTGACTTAAATTTTTTCTTGTATCTTCAACTAGTAATTCTCATTAGTCCTTTTTTTTTTTTTTTAAATTTTTTTTTTCAATGTTTATTTATTTTTGGGACAGAGAGAGACAGAGCATGAACGGGGGAGGGGCAGAGAGAGAGGGAGATACAGAATCGGAAACAGGCTCCAGGCTCTGAGCCATCAGCCCAGAGCCCGACGCGGGGCTCGAACTCACGGACCGCGAGATCGTGACCTGGCTGAAGTCGGACGCTTAACCGACTGCGCCACCCAGGCGCCCCTCTCATTAGTCCTTTATAGCATGTCACGCTTCTTTTGGCTGGCCACGACTTGGATAGTTAGAAAGAGCTGGTAGCAGCCACTTTTTCCACTTAGTCCCAAGGAGTGAGCAGCATTAGCTGTGAAGCGTCATTATCTGTTGGGCATCATAAAGAATGGTCTCAGGGATACCTGGTGGTTAAGTTTTGTGATTCTAGGGGTACAAGGCATAAGTTGCACTCAGATATTACTTTGTATCCAGAAAAGAAAGGGCTCATAGGACAATGACTTATGAATATAAAAAGGGGTGTGATTATAGTAAGAAGTAGCTTGGAATTTTTTCAAGGGTGTGTTTAAAGGCAGCCTATGGCTGCACATCTCATTCAACTGAAAGGCTGAGTTTTATAAAGCAGCACTGAACCTTATTGCATGGTATGGACTCTGATAGTTTCTATTCTTTTAAGAATTATTCTGTTCCATTAAGTTTTAAATTTAACTTGCAACTCGTTTAATTGGTTTTAAATCTCATTAATGGATTATTACCTGCAATTTGAAAAATACTGGTACAGGAGATAAAATGCAAATATTTCTCAGCTTGTGCTTACAACCCACTGGAAGCTGAAATGTAAAGAGTTGCACACAGACATTAACAACCAGTATACCTGTATACAACTGGTGTTCCTTTGGACTTGAACTCTCAAACAAGATCAGCTTCTAATATTGACATTCCCTGAGGACTAATTGAGAGCAGTAAATCAAAAAGGTAGTTTTACCAATTTTTTGAAACAGGATGAGTTGAAAGCAGGAGTTGTAAGAGTGGAGTATAAGAATATACCTGCCACTATTGTTAGGTAGATTCTGGACCCATTTTCTCCTGAAGTATGCAGATAATTATGTCTTACATGCACAAAATGGGTAGCCAATAAAATACCATGAAATGTATTTTTGATCCTGATACTCAGTTTTTTTTTTTTCTTCCAACCCTAAAGTATGTGAGCATTCTTGAAAATTCTGGGTTGGAGTTTAGGGTTAATGGTTTTAGGGTATTTACTACATAACTCTATCATAGTAATTCTTTTTTTTTTTTTTTTTCTTAAGAGATCGAGCTCATGCCCAAGAGCAGGAGTCGGGGAGGGGCAGAGGGAGAGGGAGAGAGAGAATCTTAAGTAGGCTCCATGCCCAGTGAGGAGCTCCATCTCAGGACCTTGAGATCATGATCTGAGCCCAAATCAAGAGTCAGAAACTTAACTGACTAAGCCTCTCAGGTGCTTTTCTACTATAGTATTTTTTAAAAAGTTTATTTATTTACTCTGAGAGAAAGAGAGTAGCAGGAGTGGGAGAGGGACACATACACACACACACACACACACACACACAGAGAGAGAGAGAGAGAGAGAGAGAGAGAGAGAGAGAGAGAGAATCCCAAGCAGGTACCCTGTCAATGCAGAGCCCAATGTGGGGTTCAATCCTACCAATCTCGAGATCATGACCTGAGCTGAAATCAACAGTGGGATGCTTAACTGACTGAGCCACCCAGGCACCCCAGTCATAGTAACTCTTAATCATTTTTTGGGTCACAAAAGCCTTTGAGGTAATTTATAAAATATATTTTTGCTTGGGGTGATAAAAGGATACTCCAAATTTAAGATAATTTAAAATTCAGAGTTTTAATACACAAGAGGTTGTAAGTTCTAAACATATATTCACTGAAGCATTTTTGATGCCTTTTACCCCTTCATTTTATGGGGAACTTTTCAAGCATGCAGCAGTGTTTAAAGAATTACACAGTAAACAACTATATATACCTACTGTTTGACTTTTGTTAACATTTTATGTATTTGTATTTGCTCTGTCGCAAATTTGTCTGTTTATCCCTCTGTCTGATACTTCTTTCTGTTATTTCTCATCACCTGTGTAAATTAAGGTTGTAATGGCTTTCTTTGTCAGACACATTTCTTTAGACTATCATACATTTTTTCCAATTTCAATATTAAAGGATTTTTTTCCCCTCAGTGATCTAAACTAATAGGGCATCTTTTTCTGAACAGTTTTCTGACCTTTTATCTCCAAGTAGGCATCTCATTGTGCTACTACTCCACATGAGGTGGTTTCTAAAGTGAGTTTAATTCCATTAATTATTGATTTAGACACATTTATAAGCTGCATTGGAGATTTCAGCTAGTTAAGGGAAAGATTCAGGGCAAAAATATAATTATTCCAGAATAAAATATATAGGTATTTGAGACCTCACCTCATTTTATAAAAGAGGAGTTTGAGTCTCAAAGCTGCATGACTAATCGTATGCCTGCTATTAGTAACCATGGCTCATGACTTTCTATCTGGTGCATTTTTTTTTTTTAATGTTTGTTTATTTTGTGAGAAGAGGAGTGTGTGTGCATAAGTGAGGGACAGAGAGAGAGGGAGAGAGTTCCAAGCAGGCTTTATGGTGTCAGCGGGGCTCAGTGTCACAAACTGAGAAATCATGACCTGAGCCGAAATCAGGAGTCAGATGCTTAACTGAACTGAGCCACCCAGGCACCCCTCTATCTGGTGCACTTTTATGCTGTAGTTTTATCTCATTTATTTCATTTATGTCTGTAATACTAAAATGATGATGGCAAACATAGATAGAACATCTGCTTTGTATCAGGCGTGGTGCCAGACTCTTGTTCCTCTATGGTTTCTAATCACCTTAGCAGCTGTGCAGAGGAAGTGTTACCTTCATTTTACACGTGAGGAAACAGGGTAAAGAATATGTGTAAGATCCAACATCTAGTACCTGGTGGAGCCTGGATTCCTATTTGTGACTGACTCCAGAGCTTTTCCTCTATATGCTGTGTAATCTTCTGAGTGTTAGCTAGTTCGTAGTTTTCTTCAAGGATTCCTATTGTGTCTTGTTGTCAGCCCATTTTGTTTCTTTAGGTTCTGCTTACCTATTTGTTTACCTTATGTGTCAGCATTTCCTATGTGCATGGTAGATCTTTGTGCATTAATTTACATCCATATTTGAAAACAATATTTTTATTTCAGAGTGCTCTTATGCCTGCACAGTTATTTTTTAAGACAGAAGATGGGGGCAAATACCCAGTTATATTTAAGCATGGGGATGATTTACGCCAAGATCAACTTATTCTTCAAATCATTTCACTCATGGACAAGGTAACTATAACTTTATATTGGCAGGGACCATTTTTTTAATTTTGGTTTAGTATATATGCAGTGAATGGACACTGAATTTTTTTTAACATTCAGGTGCAATCATAGGAAGCTCAGCAATCTCCAGTTGACCTTAAACAACTTTAGTTGTTTTTATGCACTGCAGATTGACTCTTGGGTTGAGTATAAAATGAAATTGCAACTGTTCCTTTTTTTTTTTTTTTAATTCTTTTTAATGTTTATTTATTTTTGAGAGGGAGATAGAGTGTGAGCGGGGAAGGGGCAGAGGGAAGGAGACACAGAATCCAAAGCAGGCTCCAGGCTCTGAGCTGTCAGCACAGAACCCGACATGGGGCTTGAACTCACAAACCGTGAGATCATGACCTGAGCCGAAGTCAGTTGTGCAACTGACTGAGCCACACAGGTGCCCCTGCAATTGTTCGTTTTTATTAAAACTCTTTTCTCAGTTAAGTTCTCTTGATGTCGAGTTTAGTAACTCCCTTCCTCTTAATCAACTAGATCTTTTTCTTCTTTAAATTCATCTCTGCCTCTGGCTTTTAAAGGAACGTATTTGTCCTCATTTCCTTTTTTTCTGAGTTCTAAAATACTTTGTGACTAGAAAGAGCTGCATAAATGAGTTGGAAGACCCCCAGTGTTGATTGGAAACTATTGACAGTGATTTAGAATAAGTTTAAAAAAATTGACATTCCATCAAGTGCTTAATAAATTTATTTTTGATGATCAAAGTACAATTAATTTAGTAATCTCTTATAATAAGCTATTATAATACTTACTTGCAAGACTGCTTCAGAACAATCTTTATACTTGTTTGGTTAATGTATTTTATCATTTGATCAAAAGCTGCTACGGAAAGAAAATCTGGATTTGAAGTTGACACCCTACAAGGTATTAGCCACTAGTACAAAACATGGTAAGTTTATTTTACACCATGGTTGTTTATTTGAGTGTCTAATAAGTATACTTTTCCTCTTTTAATTGAAAGTTAAGAATGCTAGAGATTGAATTCATTTGTAGCACTGAAGGCTGACTGGGCCTCTTTCCCTTTCTCCCTGGCTCCCTCTTGAAATCAGCATATTTGTAAGACAAATTAATACCTTTACACTGTATTTCTTTGCATTCAAAACTGGTTATAATTTACAGTAGTTTTTTTCATACTAATCTGTGTCCAGAATCCTCATTTGAGAGTTACTGTGACCCAGAGTGACTCTGTATTGTGCTCTTAAAAAAAGCCACTCAGCAATGATGCTGCCTCTGAACTAGTGTTTTTTTTTTTTTTTTTTTTTTTTTTTTTAAATATAGAATGATAGCATCTAAATCTTTCTGAGATTGAATAACCTCTGGAAATTTGATAGACGGTTCCCTAGGAATGCTTGCCTACAGCCTATTGTCAATTCCATAGTCTTGATACTCTCAGAGCTTCTCACCCTTTGATACCTGGGAAAAACAAAAGTATCCATTTTAGGTTTCTTGGCCTTCTGCTGGCCACCCTCAAATCTTTTTGGTGGTGGTTTAATTCCTCTTCTCGCTTTCGGAATGATGTTGTTTAAAGTGCACATATGATCTTTGACTATCCTGCATAAAATGATTTACTCACTTCCATTCGTTCTTTGGACAAAGTCACAAGCCTTAGCTTGTTTTACAAGTTCCAGCATCCTGTGACACACTCCTGTACCTGTCTCTCAAGCCTCTCTTTTTCCAGTCTCCCCCTTGCTTCCCAGGCATTAGCCACATGGGCCACCTTCCATTTTCTCGAATGCACCGTGCTCTTTTCAGCCTTAAGGCCTTCATTTATGTTATGATCATTATCTTTAGCATCCTTTCCTCACAGCTTTACCTATTAACTTTCACTGTCCTTCAAAGCATGGCTCAAATGTCAGATGCCCTCTGATCTCTATGGTAATTTCGGTCTCCCTACACTATTCTCTTTCACAGTACCTTTTTATTCACAATATTTATCCCAGTAAAAATTGCAGGCTTCTTCAGTGTATAAAGGCAGGGTCAAAGCTCTGTTTTTTATTGGCAAACTTATTATTGCATGGGAGAAAATCAGTAAATATCTTAAGTGAACTGATACACACTATTCCCTGTTTGTGATACAGGAATGAATGAGACATTTCTTACTTTAAAGGAGTATATGGTAGTTCCTTCATTCAACTTTGATTTTTCATAATGTCCTCCTCCTTTTTGGTAGTTTAAGGGATTTATACTTCTGTCATTTCCAGGAAATGGCAGAACATGGAGTATTAGATAAAAAAGGCAATGAACATAATGCAGTTTTAGGCTTAGTTGATTGATATTATATAATTTCAGAGTTCTTAAAGTGATTTTAAATTTGGAATATTTTTAATTGGCATATGTTATAAAAGTACAGAAAGAAGAAATTTTTGTGCATATTTAAGAAGCTTAGCTATTACTTTTTGTCTGTGTATACAGTAATAGAAATTGCCCTAGAGAAACATACAGATTAAGTCAGTTTAATTGAAAGAAGAGTTTACTTCTAGTTCCTATGACTCAAATGCCAGTCTAAACTTAATATATTGTTTACAGACTCTTTAAGTCATTTGAGTATGCAGTGTATGCATTTGAAAGTGAAGGTTATTCTTAGTAGAACCCTTACTATTTTTATTGCTTAACCAGTGTTGCGCTTAATGCAGTGCATGTATTTCTTTGTAGGCTTCATGCAGTTTATCCAGTCAGTTCCTGTTGCTGAAGTTCTTGATACAGAAGGAAGCATTCAGGTACAGAACCAATTTTAAATGAGTTATGCAATTCATGAATATAATATCGTTTTAAAAAGTTCAATCTTCATAAAAAGTGTGTAGAGTTAAAAGTGCATGTTTCATTTTATCACTGTTCTTTCCTTGAGTTGTTTTCCTTTTCTCAGAAGTGAATAATACTAAAAGTTGCAAATTCTTCCATGTTAGTATGTACAGATGCTTAGTTCCTTAAACGGTGCCTGGCACATAATAGGGGAGCGGGAATAAATTTTAAAAGTTTGTTAGTTTATAGTTATCTTATATTCCAAATTATGGAAATTCTACAGTGTGTTTAACTACAAATTAACATTTGGCTATTTCCAACTTTATGGTTCTTCAGAACAGTACTACATGCTCTTGCTCACACATGTTTTGCTCCTTTGTTTTTAAGACCCCTCTTTTCCCCTTCAACCTTGTTGCTGTCCTTTAATATAGGAATAGGTGAGCAGTTCCTAGGATTATGCCATGTGTGTCTTTGAAAATTTTTACACTTTATAGACATGGATCAATTCTTATCACATCTTAATGGTTAATCTGTGTTATTTAAAAAAATTTTTTTGGTGTTTTATTTATTTTTGAAAGAGAGAGAGACAGAATACGAGCTGGGGAGGGGCAGAAGGAGAGGGAGACACAGAATCTGAAGCCGGTTCCAGGCTCCAAGCTGTCACCACAGAGCCCGACGTGGGGCCCGAATCACAAACTGCCAGATCATGACCTGAGCCAAAGTCGGATGCTTAACCGACTGAGCCACCCAGGCACCCCAATTTAAATATGACTTTCTTTTTCCCTGTGTAAGAAGAATGTATGTAATTTACGCAAAAAAACCTGATATGCCTGAAATGAAAGCTAATACAGGACGGACTTGACAGGGGATATTTGTTACAATGTGTTTTTGTCTTTCCCAGTTTAGCATGTAATTCAGTATGGAGTTTAGAGTTGCAGAAAAGCATTATTCTCATTTCTTGGCAAAGCAGGTGGTTATACTGTTCTTTGGTTTAAGGAATAATCACTTGCAGTAGTTAAACATTCATGCTCACTAGAGTCTTTTGGGTTTTCTATGTATGTAACACGTCATCTGCAAATAGTGAAAGTTTTACTTCTGCCTTACAAATTTGGATGCCTTTTATTTCTTTTTGTTGTCTAATTGCTGTGGCTAGGACTTCCAGGGCTATGTTATATAAAAGTGGTGAGCGTGGACATCCTTGTCTTGTCCCAGACTTTAGGAGAAAAGTTCTCAGTTTTTCCTCCTTGAGTATGATGTTAACTGTAGGATTTTTATATAAGGACTTTATTATGTTGAGGTATGTTCTTTCTAAACCTACATTGTTGGGGTGTTTTTTTCTTTTTATCATGAATGGATGTTGTACTTTGTCAGATGCTTTTTGCATCTATAAAAATGATGCAAAGATAATTTTAAGAATAAAAATTATTCTTTCTCTTACTAATGTGACATACCACATTGATTGATTTGTGAATATTGAACCACCCTTGCATTCCAGGAATAAATCCCACTTGATTGTGGTGAATAACTTTTTTTTTTAATGTATTCTTGGATTCTGTTGGCTAAATTTTTTTAATTTAAAAAAATTATTTTTAATGTTTATTTTTGAGAGAGAGCGAGATTGACAGAGCATGAATGGGGGAGGGACAGAGAGAGAGGAGACACAGAATCTGAAGCAGGCTCCAGGCTCTGAGCTGTCAGCACAGAGTCTGACACAGGGCTCAAACCCACAAACCATGAAATCATGGATTCATGAGCCGAAATTGGATGCTTAACCAACTGAGCCATCCAGGTGCCCCTTGGTTTGCTAATTTTTTTTTTTTTTTTTTTTTTTTTTAAGATTTTGCATCCATGTGCATCAGAGATACTGGACTACTAGAACTGATCAATGAATTCAGTAAAGTCGCAGACTACAAAATCAAGATATAGAAGTCTATTGCATTTCTATACGTTAATAATGAAGCAACAAAAAGAGAGGAAAATAATCCCATTTATAATTGCACCAAAAATAATAAAATACATAGGAATAAACTTAACCAAAGAGGTGAAACACCTGTACTCTGAAAACTATAAAACACTGATAAAAGAAATTGAAGATGACACAAAGAAATGGAAAGACACTTCATACTCATGGATTGAAAGAACAAATATTGTTAAAATGTCTATGCTAGTCGGGGCGCCTGGGTGGCTCAGTTGCTTAAGCATCCAATGTCAGCTCAGTTCATGATCTCGCAGTTTGTGAGTTCGAGCTCCGCGTTGGGCTCTGTGCTGACAGCTCAGAGCCTGGAGCCTGCTTGGGATTCTGTGTCTCCCTCTCTCTGCCCCTCCCCTGCTCGCACTCTGTCTCTCTTTCTCTCAAAAATGAATGAACGTTAAAAAAAAATGTCTATACTACTCAAAGCATTCTACATACTTAATGTAATCCCTATCAAAATGCCAACAGCATTGGGGCACCTGGGTGGCTCTGTCAGTTAAGCGTCATCCAACTTTCGGTTTTGGCTTAGGTCATGGTCTCACAGTTTTGTGAGTTTGAGCCCTGCGTCAGGCTCTGCACTAACAGTGCAGAACCTACTGGGATTCCGTCTCCCTGTGCTTCTCTCTCTATCCCTTCCCCACTCATGATGTCTCTGTTTCTCTCAAAATAAATAAACTCAAATAAAAGAAGAAAATCCCTTAAAAAACTACCAACAACATTTTTCATAGAACTAGAACAAACAGTCCTAAAATTTGTATGGATCCACAGAAGACCCCATAAATAGTCAAAGCAATCTTGAAAAGCAAAATTGGAGTTATCACAATTCCAGACTTCAGATTATATTACAGAGCTGTAGTAATCAAAACAATATGGTACTGGAACAAAATTAAGACATACACATCATTAAAACAGAATAGAAAGCCCAGAAATAATCCACACTTACATGATCAGTTAATCGTTGACAAAGGAGACAAGAATATGCAATGTGAAAAAGTATCATCAGCAAATGATGTTGGTAAAACTAGATAGTTACATGCAAAAGAATGAAACTGGACTACTTTCTTAAATCTGAAAATGGATTAAGGGCCTAAGTGTGAGACCTGGAAGCGTAAAAATCCTACAAGAGAGCATAGGCATTAATTTTTCTAACATCAGCTGGTAACAACATCCTTCTAGATGTTGTATGTAGATGATGTCCAAGGCAAGGGAAACAAAAGCAAAAATAAACTGTTGGCACTACATAAAAATAAAAAAAGCTCTGTAAAACAAAGGAAATGACCAATAAAACTAAAAGACAGTCTGCTGAATGGGAGAAAATATTTGCAAATCACATATCTGATGACGGGTTAGTATCCAAAATATATAAAGAACTTACACAACTCAATACCCAACAAATAATTGAATTTAAAAATGGGCATAAGACATTTCTCCAAAGAGGACGTCCAGATGGCTAACAGACACATGAAAAGATGCCCAACATCACTCATCATCAGGGAAATGCAAATCATAACCACAGTGAGATACTACCTCATTTCTGTCAGGATGCCTAAACTCAAAAACTCAAGAAACAGCAATTGTTGGTGAGCATGTGGAGAAAAGGGAATCCTCATGCACTGTTGGTGAAAATACAAACCAGTGCAGCCATTGAGGAAGACGGTATGCAGGTTCCTCAAAAAATTAAAAATAGAACTATCCTATGGTCCAGTAATTGACACTGCTGGGTATTTACCCAAAGAATATGAAAACACGAATTTGAAAGGATATTTGCATCTTTGTGTTTATTGCAGCATTATTTATAATAGCTAAACTATGGAAGCAGCCCAAGTGTCCATCAATAGATGAATAGATAGTAGGGCGCCTGGGTGGCTCAATCAGTTAAGCATCCTACTCTTGATTTAGGCTCAGATCATGATCTCACGGTTTGTGAATTTGAACCCCGAGTTGGACTCTGAGCTGACAGATCAGAGCCTGCTTGGGATTTTCTCTCTCCATTTCTCTCTGCCTCTCCCATGCTCATGCTCATTGTCTCTCAAATTAAATAAACTAAAAAAAAAAAAAAAATCAATGATACACGCTTGCACACACACACATAGGAATATTACTCAGCAATTAAAAAAGAATAAAATCTTGCCATTTGCAACAGCATGGCAGGATCTAGAGGGTATAATGATAAGTGAAATAAGCTAGTCAGAGAAAGACAAATACCATATGATTTCACTCCTATGCAGAATTTAAGAAACAAAACAAATGAACAAAGGAAATAAAGAGAGACAGATCAAAAAACAGACTTTTAACTATAGAGAACAAACAGAACATTAGCAGCAGGGGGGTGGATGGGGGAATGGGAAGAAAAAAGCAAATAGCTGGGGCTCAGAACATTAAACTGCCTAGGGTTGATGTTTTGCTATGCAGTTTTCCAACTGTGTAACCTTTAGTCACTTCTTAACCCTTTGTGCACAGAAGAGTTAACAGAGCAGACCTGAGGCTATTGCCTTTAGAAAGGTCTGCTTGCTAAGTTAGCCTTTGACTGGTATCTGGGAACTTGGCTTTCAGTGTGTTATTCCTGTGTTCTCTGATAAGAGTGGTTCAGTGTGCCTAAACTGTGCAAATAATTTGATTTACAGTGAACAACTTGCTTTCCTCCTAGAATTTTAACAGTTGCTAGACAGAGGGTGACTTTATGACCAGCCCCCAGTAAAAAACCTTGAGTGCTGAGTCTATAATGGGCTTCCCTGGACAGAAACATTGCACCCAGATTACTGCCTTTTTTTTTTTTTTTTTTTAAATTGGCATTGGAGAAAAGTAGTAAGTATGCTCAGCATATCCCCTCATAGAAGAGAGCCAGGAGGCTGACACATGGATTTCTCCAGGCTTTGCCTGTGTATTTTCCCTGTCCTGATTCTACTGTGTATACTTTTGCTTTAATAAGTGTCACTTGTGGTACAACCATATGTTGAGTCTATGATTCCATCTAACAAACTTGTCGGAGTTGTTGACCTCCTAACATACCCTTTAGGTCTCAGTTTTTGCACCTGTGAAATTTGGATAATAATTTAATAGTATCTGCCTCTAGGATTAGTACCTGAAAATGAGGTGAAGTGTATGTAGAGCTTTAACATAGTTTCTAACTGAAATTATTATTTAATAAAGTTATTAGTTATTACGTGGCTGTGTGCAGTTGTGATTTGGTAAAATAAGGACAGTGCAGTTGGTATATTGATTCTTGGTTTCATGTCTGATCTGTGTAAATAGTTTTGCTGAGTCAGAGGTTATTCTCATGTTCAACTTCAGTAGACAATTAAAACGTATTTTCTAAAATAGTTGTTTTTGGGAAGTTATTCTGTTTCTCATTGCTATACATCTTTGCCTATTCTTAATATTGTCAGACTTTTAAATTTGGTATTGTAGTTTTAGTTTTCCCTAATTATCACAGGTTGAACATTAAAAAATATATGTGTAGGCTATGCATTTCTTCTGTGGAGTCCTTATTTACATCTTTTGTTCATTTTCCTCTTGGGTTGTTTGGGTCTTATTGATTTATAGGAGTTCTTTATATATTCTAGGCATAGATCCTTTGTCAAGCCCAAGGGTGTTCAGAAAAGCTGAAACATAGGGTAAACTTTTTTTTTTTTTTTTTAAACAGCATGTTACTTGTGTTTTCAAATAGTATATTCTGTTTTTCTTTAACATCTACATGTAAGGGAATAGTTCTAGTTGGTAATCAGAAACAAAACAAAACATTATTTTCCCCACTGTTTCCAGACTTTGGACACTCTAGTGCATGTATTGTGTCCCTATAATTCTTTTGTTCAGTTAGCATCTTTCTTATATTTATCTTTCCATCAATTTCCCCTGGGAATTATTGGCACTTTCTAATCATTTTTATTGAGCTTTTTTTTTTAATTATTATTATTGATGTATCATTGACATACAGTATTATATTACTTTCAGGTGTACAACACAGTGATTTTGACAATTACATACATTATGAAATGATCACCATAAATCTAGTTACCGTCTGTGACCACACATAGTTATTATAAGCAATATTATTGACTATATTCCCTGTGCTGTAGTTTATATCCCCTTGACTTATTTGGTTTATAACTGGAAGTTTGTTAATCCTAACAGTGTTTCAGTAGCTACACTTAAAAAGTAATTTCAATAACTCATGTTCACTTTAAGGAGAATGTATGATACAAAAAACCCCCTCTGAATTGTTTACATTCAGAAGAAAGGTGAAAAAAAAGTGATAGAGTATAGAGAAATAAAAGTAAATTCATTTCATCTAATATTTTCCCCCTAAGGTGTAAAAGTAGCAGCATACTTTTTTTTTATCTTAACTGTCTGCAAGCACAGTAGTAAAGACTGATTCTTAGAATATACTTTTTAAAGTCCACATTTTATAATTATTGACTAAACATTAGGCCAGGTACTTGGTCATGTTTTACAATTGCAAAATGTCTGATTTGTTAAGGATTGTATTGAGTTTGTAAACATGTGAATTATATCTTTTCAGAACTTCTTTAGAAAATATGCACCGAGTGAGAATGGACCAAATGGAATCAGTGCTGAAGTTATGGACACTTATGTTAAAAGCTGTGGTAAGTTTTTCAAGCTCTATTTTCCACTGATGCAGTGAAGTCAAGGAAATAGGCTATCCTCATGTTGCTATATTCATACACATTTGTACATTGTAGGATTTTATCTTACTCCATGTGGGCTGCTCTAACAAAATACCAGAGACTAGGTGGCTTGTAGGCTGGAAGTCCAAGATAAGGTACCTACTTGGTCAGTTGACAGCCCTTTTTGGGGAGAAGACTTTTTTGTTGTATCTTCATCTGGCAGAATGGGCTAGGGAGCTGTGTGGACTCTCCTTTTAGAGAGCACTAATCTCATTCATGAGGGGTCTACCCTAATGATTTAAGCACCCCCTAATACCATTACATTGGGCTGTATGATTTCAACATGTGAATTTTGGGGGCCACAAAGACATTCAGATCATAATATTTCAATTCTGTATAAGAAGATAACTAAAAGATATACTGATAGAAGAAGTCAATTAATGTTTTGACATAATAGTAATTAACAAGGTATAAATTCTGTTTAGTCTTTGGTGAATGTATCTTTGCAATCAGTTAACTGTGTTATTATTACAAGTTATCTCTTCCTGGAAGCTGTTAATTTTCTCCAAGATTTTCCCTGTGTTTGAGTAACTACAATTAAAGAGACTGAGGGAAAAGTCTCAGCAATAATTATGCTTTAGATAAATCTCAAGAGCTATGTTAGGAGGATGCCTCTCATGATATTTTATTTTATGGTCCCTTCCTGGAAATAAGTAGGTAGTAGAATGCCAGAGGGATTAATTCACATCGTTTCAACCATTTATGCCTACCTATCCTCATGAAGTTTATGTTCTAGAGGATTTTTTAATTTTCTTAAGCAGTTTTTTGTTTGTTTTATTTGTTTTTGCTTTTAATAGCTAGATTGTTTAAAAGAGGGTTAGTAAAGGAGTTGACACTAGAGTTAGCCCTGGATGGGATATGGTATATAAGTTGTTCCTGTTTTAAGTTCCTATTTATACCTAAGGCAAAGTAGGTAAGGGACGTTAGACACATGTAACAGTTGTATTTAAACTTTCATATCATTTAATGGCTTATAAACTGATTCTTATACATGACATTTAAAAATTTTTCACAATGTTCCTATGAGGTAGTATTCCAGATTATTTTAGACAACATAATTTACTCCCAAATTTATACTAGATGATATATAAAGAAGTACATCTAGTTGGCTGAGAAGTATAAAGAAAATGTAATATAGCTGGGAACTTTAAAAGCACTGAAATAAAACATGTGTGTGTATATTAAAATCCTTTTGGTTTTAATCGTATTTTTACTGAAGGAATATAACGTGGTACGTGTAACTGTGCTCTCCCTTAAAAATGACCATGTACAGTGTATTTAAAGACTAAAAAATTATTGAAGCATTCTAGAGAAAATGTATTATTTCTTTTAGTTTCCCTTGCTCTCCCAACTCTGTATTTCTCTTTTTTTTCTCTCCTTCCCTGCTTTCCTTCTTTTCTTCTTTCCTTTTCCCCTTTCTCTTCTTTCCTATTTTTTTTGACCTTCAACTCTTGTTTTCTGTGTTCTGAAAAAATTACGTATCATCTAAAGACTAGGCAGGACATCTAAGATCACTCACATGACAGTTCATAGTTCATACTGTCTTTTATAGCAAGACTTGTCTGTCAAGTGTCCTGTACGTGTCTTCTCTGTGGCTTGGGGTTCTCAGAGCTGGGATCCAAGAGGAAGTATTCTAAGAAACAGAAAGTAGAAATTGTTGGTTTCTGATGGCTTGGACTGGGAAGCTGATCATTTGTCATTTCTGTTATAATCTCTTGGTCAAAGCAGTCACAGAGCTTGCCCGGACCCAAAGGGAGGGGTTATAGTTCCCACCTCGAGTGAAAAGCACGTTAAAGAATGTGTGGCTATTCATTAGTCCACCACGCCTAATTACTGAAAACTTTTTAACATCATGAATCTATTTAACAAATGAATGCTAACTTTTTCTGCTTGAAATATATACACACACATACTATCTATAAATATTGACTAAAATTTTGAAAGCCCTGCTCACTCTTAGTAAAATTACTGGAACAGTATATTATGATTGCATGTCATAATTGTTTTATGTAATGTTCTATTACATAAATGTTCTATTACATAAAATGTCTTTTATGTAACGTTCTATTTTTTTCCAAGACCTAATGAAAGTATGACTGGGTTTTTCATATAAAAAAATAGCCATTTCAAATTGAACTTCTTGGGGCACCTGGGTGTCTCAGTCAGTTGAGCGTCTGACTCTTGACTTCAGCTCGGGTCATGATCTCACAGTCCTGAGATCAGGTTCCGTGCTGGGTGTGGAGCCTGCTTAAGATTCTCTCCTCCCTCTTTCCCTCTCCTGCATGCTCATGCGTGCGTGCACGCTCTCTGTCTCTCTCTCTCTCTCAAAAATAAAGAAATAAGTTAATTAATTAATTGCACCTCTTGGATACTTCAGTTCAAATTGGATCTTGCTCCTTTCTTTCCCTAATATTGTACTTTTATTCCTTTCCTGATAATCGATTTGATGGCAAGCCTTCTCTTCATCTTATTTTGAATAGCCTTTTTTTTTCCTTTGTACCTTGTTGTGTTACAAAATAATCATTTGTATTTTAGGGTGTTTGGTATATTGGAGGTTGAAAGCCATTATTTGAGTTTTTCATTAGAGGATTTAGTGATCAATAAGTTGCTACTTTGTACTAGAATCTGATTGTTGGACATTATCATATAGATGTATGTATAAGTTTCATTTTAGAAAGTAAAGGTTTAGATTTTTGGCAGAGTGTAAGAAGAAAGTGATAATAGTTTTGGTGACAGTTTTTTTCCAGATTATGCAAGGTATCAAGTATATTTCATGCAAGTAAATAGAACATTAATTATTTTTACAAATATATTTTTGCTAAGTGAAGGGAGATACTATCATTTGGTTCTCTAATATTTCTCTGAATTTTACATCAAAGTTGTATTATAATACCAATTTAAAGATATTGTGCATTTCATATGGGCTCAAAACGCTAACGGGCAGCATCCTTTTGACAAAATTCTCTTGGACAATCTACTCTGTGCCATCTCATATTGTTTTGAATCTGTTATCTGTGCTTTAAAAATTTCTGGGGATCATCTGACTCTTAATTCATGTCTTTTCCAGCATGTTCTCTCTTAAGCATTGATACTTTGAATTATTGGGACACCCTGATTTCACCCCCCCCCCCC